CTGCTGACTATAGAAAGAATTATAGATCTCAGAAGCTGACGTAGCCACTGGGCAAGCCTCCAACAACCTTTTCTTTAGCAATCCCCACCTTGTCTCAGAAGCACCGGCCCGCCCCTCCACTACCCAGAACAAAATAAAACACCACTTCCCATCCGTGCTCACATCTAAGTCATTCACAAGCAAACGTTACAGCAAACAAAGGGGAAGTAAGAAAATTCCAAAATTACTTCAGTAGTTCTCGAAGGACACATCAAAATCGCACTTTCCGAAAAAAAATCAAAAAATATAAGGATGAGGATAGGGTTTCACCTCCTCTAACAATGCTCAAACCGAAGAAGAGGATCACGCGACAAAGGTCGCAACCAAGGCCAGTCTTATCCGGACAACTGATGGTGATGACGGACGGATCTCCGGCGTTCTCCGGCTCTCGTATGATCACCGGATCATCGCTGGGAAGACCCATCTCTTTCCTCTGGCCCCTTATATGTAACAGTCAGGCTCAAAGAACTTTAGGTCATCGGAGCACAGGTCGAGATTCGCGTGCTCTTCTAGGTTCCTCAGGAATAGACTACTGCACATAAAAGGTTTAAGGGAAGCGAAGGTGAGCAGTCAATCATCAGTCACCCGTCCTCCAGATTTACGGCAGATTCTAGGAATCATCCATTGGAACTCTCTGTGTATAATCGTTGAAGCATCAACACGTCGGGCGATTCCCTGACGTTGGATCGTGCTCAATCCATTAATCAGCCGAGATATATGTCGACGTCTAATCCCAACTGGATCGGTCAATGGTCTGGGTCCTCTTGGACGCCAATTTTTATTTCAAGCTATATTAATCCTCAAAAGTGACGTTTTGTTTTTTATCTTGAGATTTATATGGATACCATAAACAATAGAAAAATAAGTATTTATCTAACAAAATTCAAATTTATTGTTCAATCACCTGAACTTTTTCATGTCACTTCATTTGTTCCGATTAACTCCCGTCAATGCTTCATCCCCTTCTTCTGCCAAAGATCAATCATTTTTAAGACCTCTTCAGAGGAGTTGTAGCTTATTAAAAAATTATTGTGCATCAGCTATCTCAGGAAGTTGTTGAGCAGAAGCTTGTCTGCTTTTTTTCACAATTTTACAACAGTTGTGTTGCAGTTATTTTTTAACAAATGATATTTTTACTCATTTAGTATAATGTTGTTTATAACATAATCAATCATACTAGCACATTTCATACTTGAAAATAAATATCATGTTTGAATGTTTTCAAAATAAAAATTGATACCTCACAAAATAATAAGTAACACAACTATCATAATTTTAAAAATAAAAGGTATTAAAATAACAATTAATAATATCATAATTTTATTTTTAAAATATTGTTGGTTCACGTCATGAGATAATCTCTCCTCCAACGAAACTCTCCATATCTATCATTATCGATGTGGAATCCTCGAACCAATATGCTCACCTGAAGAAATAGTTCTCCATTATATTCCTTCAACAACTATAAAATTGTCTCCTATAGTTATGTGGCTATCGCGAAATAAGCAAAGAACAATATAGTCACCAGTAGCAACACAATGCTCTGGAGGTATCGGAAGTCCTTAAGCTCGTTTTTTTCTTAAGTTTTAAAATCACAAAGCACAGAAGCAGTACAATTTCTTTCCTATGCTTTCCTTGAACTATTTTATAATATTTTGCCAACCCTTTTTGATAAAAAAAAATTGTTGGTCTATTTCCAAATTTCACCTCTTTAAGGCAGAGATCACAAAATATTATTTTAACATCTTTATCGAACATGGCACACAAACCGACATCTTTAGTCTTAACTAAGACGATAGTAGCATGAGCATAACCAAACAACATAAATACTTGCCAAGGAAAATATAATGTGTCATTTAAAACACAAAAACTTAAAAAAATAAATGAAAAGAAACATCACCACAAAACAGCCCACCAATTGCACCACCACCATTTCATTAAAAAAAAAACCACCACCAACACCAACATCTATGCTGCCAACATCAACACCCCATCATTTTACCAAAAAAACACCATCAACTCCACCGCCTCCAATATCACCATTACCACCACCACAAGCATGCCAAAAAAATAACACAACCAACTTCACCACCAATACGATCACCACAATTTCATCCAAAAATGCACCACCACCATTTCACCAAAAAAAAAAAAAACATCAACACTAATACCACCAAAATCACCACCAACGTCATCATCAATGACTCAAGGAGGCCCATAGGACCTTCAAGTGTACACTACGAGCATAGTAAGTTGGGGTATGCACCACATTAGTTGTGCTTAGAGGCAATCATTGTCAAGTTGGCATCATTTTTTTCATTTTCATCTATGTTGATGTTCGTTCCTGCGTCATGGGGTTGTGTCTTGCTGATACATATGTTCTCGTGACACGAACCTTCAATGAAATTACTCTGCATGTGTTCATACCTTAAGCTTAGAGTGCAGACCTAAGGATTTTTCTCCAAAACCGTCTTACTCGGTGACACACATATGAAACATCTTTTTGAGCGCTTGAAACACATTTATGACCTCTACAGAAGCCTCCTCATATTTCATCCTCTGGAGTTCCCTCGAGGCCCCTTCCACGGACTTTTCTAGAAGTCTAACTTTCGTGGGGTTTGATATGACCAAGCTTAAATGGGCGTGGTCATGCCCCTCCCATGGTGGGACCTTGATCGAAATCAGGCATGACTGAGCCAAAGTTTCCTGAAGGCGCTTGTAGACTCTTAAGTGTCGTAACCACGCCCAAAGATGGCATTACCATGCCACCAAGACAGAGAGTCTGGCGTAATTACGCTGGATCTCAGGTGTGATCATGTCTAAACTTATAGAAGGCAACAAAGACCTTTAAGTGGCGTAACCATGCCACCCAAATAAAGAGCCCGAAGTGATTACGCCAGGTCTCGGGAATGACCATGACGACCCCCCTTCTGCAACACATTCAGTAGGGGTATGGCCACCCTCAATCTCAGGCGTGACCACGTCTTGCCATTTGGTTTGTTAGTCGTTTGTCCTAATTTTTTTCATTAACTTGGGTTAACCCTTGTTAAGTGAGGATTATGCCAAATGAGTAAGACCATTCTTAATGAGGCAAGAGATCTCATCCAACCTCCTGAGCCCAAAAAAACCTCTAGGGTCGAGAGCATGTAGATGATGAGGAGTCATTCGATGAGTTGAGCAGAGGATAGTGACGGTCCTAGTAGCTGCCAACACTTTAATGATAAGTTAATTTAAGTTGCAATCTCCACCCAAGTGTCAGGGTTCCTACGCAAGTGTACATATCGTTTTCATAATAGAGGGCTCTACTTGAGTTCGAAATGTCGATTCCAAAGGGAATGTGGCAAAGGCTCCATAGTAATAAAAATTGTCGGTCGCTTTAATTTTTTAAATTAGTTTTTAATTTAATATACATATAAGTTTGATTTATAAAATAATTTTTTTAAAAAAAATATGATACAAACAAGATCTCATCCATTTAATAGTTTAAACAACCGAGCACAGCACTAAAAGCAATACACCATCACGAGAGATAGGCATACTACTTGACAGTGGACTCGATCATATAAACTAAAAAAACTTATGATATTTGTTTGGTTTGCGAACCTTCTATATATTGACCAAAAAGTTCCTCTATCAAATATAAGGTTTAGATAGAGTTTATATTACCTGGGTTCTTAAGTTCCTTATAAAGGCAAACCTATGTAGTTAATTACATCTTAAATGATCAAAGTTGCTTAAGAAAACTCTCGATAATTATGAGAGGTATTTGTCTTCAAGATTTCAATGTTTGGGTTTTTAAGGTTGGACATGGGGAAAATCAAGTGGGAAATGACCAAATAGGAGCAATTATTTTGGGAGTCCAAAGGAACGAGAAGTAAGAGATGTAATAGATCTCAAGGAGAACCTCAGTAAATTCCTAACTATCCTATAGTTTGGCTTCAGGTTTGATGGTGATATTATTTGATCTTTTGATCATGCCAATTTATTATTTAGGGCTTACATCTTCATGATACTCAATCATGTAAATAGCCTGAAAGATAGGAGGATTTACGTCATAATGATCTCTAAATCCTAAAAGAGTTAGGGCTTATATTCACAACATGATTGTGCAAAAGCCTAAAGATAAGGTGAGGATTATGTTGCACTAGAGAAACAACATTAAAGTCCCACAGATTTGCAATTTAAGTTTAAGTAAAGTTTAGTTGAAGTAAACTTATTTTGTTGTTGTAGATCATCGACCGCCTCCGCTTGTAACTCACTCCAAGCTCCTCATCACAGTGGCAGTTCCATGGTTTAAAGTTTATGTATTATGTTATTATTTTGTGTATTATATATTATCATATATTATGTAATTATTTATGCATTATGTTTGTATTTTGTTTATTGTTTAAGTATTTGGGAAGAAATTTATTTCATGTCAAGCGATGCCGGTTAAGATCCATGGTTATGTCATATCGGCATCACTATTTATCTTGAATTTACCTAGTCTAAACAAGATGGTAAACTTGTTTAAACCGGAGAATTCTCGTTAGCAATTGTATGTTACCTCATTCGAATGTTTCTCGTAAATCCAAAAGGGGTAAATTATGTTCGTTCATGTTGACCTCACTTTTGGTAGAGGTCTAGAAAACTTCTTTAGTAGCCTAGGTCTAGCCATAGGACTTTCCTATTGACTAGTCTTAGAAAATTAGAAGAGGTACCCCACCATTAGAAATTCAAAACTCTTCTTTTTTTACTCAGCTTGAAATTCCACATATTGATCTTAACCTCTAGCATTTAGTAGGTAAGATCATTATGAGAGAATTCAAGAAGAGTCCCTATAGGATTATTTGGCCTTAGGATTGACCCTGGATGTTGACTTGGAACTAGGGTACACCATATCTTCACAATACATTAATCCATGGTTCATTTAGAATGGATATTTATCCAATTCTATGTGGAATGCTTAACTTGGTCTTTTGCCCCTAGGCACCTCCAAATTACCTAACTGCCCTTGGTACCCAAATTTGGCTAATATTCCCAAATTTTGCCAAAATACC